AGATTTACATTAAAATATTGTTTAAAAAATATTTTAATGTTAATCTTATAAATTATAGGATGTGAAAAAATAAGCTTAATTTGGATTCTCTAGTTTTTTCAAGTATCAAAATTATTTAAATATTATTTTCAAAATAAAATATTGTTTTTAGTTCCCATAAAATTAAATCAAAATGATCCATAATACTTTTCACTCTATATGACATTTTATTTTATGATCTCGGGTTTATGTTTTTACCTAATTAAATGTAGATGAAATTACTATTTATGATGATGATATATATATATATATATATATATATATATATATATATATATATATATATATATATTCATCGAAGGCCCAATGGACCTATTAGACTATATAATGGGGATAGCCCTTCCTATCATGTAATTATCAAAGAAACTAAAATCACAAAAACTCGAACCTTACTTCATTAGAAAAGTTAGCTAGATATATAACCGTTAGACTAAACCTACTTGTGTATATATGATCATCATTTGTTAAATAGTGCAACACCTTTGTTCTCACAATTCCTTAAAAAAACATTTACTAGGAAATAAATTGCAGTTTATTATATTCTTGGTTTTTGCTTGTAATTCTCTAAAAAAAAAAAAAAGGGCGTTATATTTTATCTAGTCGAATATAGATTTTTTTTTTGTTTTTTTTTCTAATGTCTAGTCTTTATTAAAAAAAAAAAAAACTTGTTTGATTCTATCTCCAAAACCAACGAAATGAAGGAGTCACTAAACCACGCGAGACAGATCGTCGAGTATCTTGAACCAGCAACCCATTTCACCGGTTTTCTCACCTGCAAATAAGAAAACAAATGCCATGTGTGATAACTATAATACCCCTGTAATTATATTTTTATATTTAAATACTTATAATAAATTTTTCTGAATTTTTTTTTATAAAAATTGCACAAATGATAATAAAATAAAAATATAACATATAACATCTATATGAAATAACAAGAAGGATAATAAATCATCTCTATAAAATAATCCATAAAATCATAAGATGGTCATAAATGGCATAAGTTGTTGGTAGCAAGGGAAATATCGGTATAGAATCGGGATTATAGGGAGAGTATTGTTTTTGTCAATCGAATATTGTACGAGTAAGTTACTAAAATCTTCATGGAAAATTGAACATGGATGTCAAATGTTTTATTCTTAAAATCCTATTTGTTTACAAGAATCATGCGTGGAAGTAACATGATTTACTAGCGTTTTATGCAACAACTTTTTATCTACATGACTTTCCATATTTAGTCATGTTCTCAACTAGTTTTGAATGTGATTCGTCTTTCATTAGACAGAAAGAAATGAAATTTGATTATATGTCCAAGTTGAAAAGACATGGATAAATATTTAGGTAAAGTCTGTTTAGTCTCAACATTCCGTCATGCTTTTGGTGAAAGATAATTTGCATATAAAGCCATAAAGAATACCGCATAGCAACTCCAGTCAAAACGATTCTAGCAGAAGAGATAATTGTATAATAGATTACGCTTAGACCTAATTGATTTAGTAATGAAAAAAAGGCAAGAAACTGCATCCACAAATCCTATTATATCTTTCCTTAATAGTGACGATGGAATGCGAGAGGAAAGAAAACTAGGAACACTAAACCAATCTTAGAGGAAAAGGTCAATAACCAAAGACAGTTGAGGTTGAAGACAAATTGCCAAACTGCAAGTAAATACCATAAGGAACAATCTAGCAACACCAAACCAATCAAGTGGCAAACACAATTCATTGTCCCTTCTAATCCAAGTAGCAAATTCCATTAATGAGTAGCAACTCTTACAATGGAACAACGAGAGACACAAATAAAGCACAACAAGAGCACACTCGTAACCGAGTAAATAACAATAATCAAAATTTCACATCGGATGTCGAAGCCATAGCCTTGTCATGCTAGAGCAACTCTATGTAAGTTCACTTTACCAAACTCGACTTGGAGGATCCCGAGCACAAATTTCTAATCTAGGGCATCCAAAATTTCTCTTTTACAATCAAGTTTCTAAATAACATTCTTTAATAAATAACATGAAAAAAAATACAACTTCCATAAGGATTGTAAAATATCATTATTCTCTCTTAAACCTAAAAAAAAGTAGTGGAGTATAAAACAGAAACCTTTGACATAAGTGCAAGTGCCGAGCCCATCCGAAGCCTTTTCGGATTTTCCTTTTCCATTAGAACCATTTTCATCACTTCCCCTGCTCTGCTTTCCCTAACCCTTTCCCTTCTCTTCGGCGTCTTTTACATTCGAGTCCTTTCCCATTTAGCTTACAATCCTACGCCAATACTCAATCATAAGATACAAAACCCATTACCAAAAATCAAAAAATTAAAGAACGAGTACTCGAAAAGGAAAATTAAATAGCAAGTAAATTAAAACCACAAGTATACAAGATGTGTGCAAATTAATAGCCCAAGTACACCAAAAAAACAATAGCCATTGATTAATCGTAACAAACCGGACCCTTAAAAAATTCACCCCGAAATTGAGAACCAAAGAGAAACAAGAAAAACCTATCTAAAAAACAATAAAATTGCAAAGACCCATTAATCAAAGGACAAGAAAAGGTAGTGCATGTAGTTTTAAGCTTTATAAAAATGTCCAAAAAATTATGCGCAAGGGGGAGGAAATTGAGGAAGGGAGAGACCCGGTCGAAGACATGTTGTTTAACAGTTTCTTCAAAGAAATGAAGGACATAGAGAGCGATAGTAGCGGATAAACCGGTGGCTATTAAATCGGAGACAACCGTATTCGATGAAGCATTGCTACTGCTTGTCCTTGTCGTTGGATCCCCTTTAGGTCTCCTCTATGTCTTCCGTCGTCCCTAAAATTCGACCTCAAAGCTAGTACAATCGTTGTTGATTCCGTGATAAGGAGTGAAAATGAAAGTGGGCTTGAGGTTAGAGAGAAGGGAATTGTGAGGGTCAAGGCCGAGGCGGATCCGTTTTGCGGATCTTTTTGTTATTGCAAAGGAGGGGAACAGTGAGGCGAGGCAGAGTGAGGGCAAAAATGTGAATCAAAATATTTTGATGATTTCTTCTGTGTTTTCTCCCAGTTTCCTCCCAATTTTGGGAGGAAAATAGGTCCCACCATTTATAGATTTGTTTAATTTTTTTTTTCTTTCCACAGTTTTTCTCTGCAAACCAAACAGAGGAAAACTTTCCTTTCCTTCCTATTTCCTTTCCTCTCCCCCACTTTCCTCCTTATCCAAACAAGGGGTTAAAGACATCTACATTTAAAGGAGGCAACGCACTATAGAATTAGCAGTGAAGATGTTAGCGTCACCTTTTCATTTGTTAGTTAAAAAATACTATTTGCCTTCCGAAACAAGTTGAACAAGAGCTAGTTAGTTTGGACTTTGGAGTCTTTTGGAGTTCGGACTATACTATTTGACCTACTTGAGCTGCATTATTAATTTTTTAGACAATCTAAATCAACCGATCATTGGCTTAATTAATGACAATTAGAAATTTCATTAATTAGCATCCACACACTGTTAACCTGTCAGCTTCTAACTTCTTCTTCTGTATTTTTTTTTTTTTTGTGTGTGTGTGTGTGACAGTTTTGCTTGATTAACAATTTTAGAGATATATCTTTAGACTAGTTGCATATAAACTAACTAATTAAATCAAACAAGATCTTGAAATTATCTGGTTGGGTGGAGCATATATCTTGATTTATGGATCAGTTATCCATGTCTAAAGTTTAATATTGACCTATGAACCCTTTTAAATATATATATATATATATATAATTTTTAAGGGGGTTCTATTTGTTTTTAATTATTTATTTGAGCTTAACATTTAGGTTCCCTAGATCGATCAAAATACGTCATAGTTTTCCTAAATTTTATAACTAATTATATATGATTTTATGAACTTTATAATCAAGTATCAACTGTTAACTAATTGAGACGAATTGTTATATAGACTCGGTTTATAACTTGAGCAATACACGTACGAATTACTTTACAAACTATCAGTGATAATTGATAATTGATTCGTTTAATTTATTTATATAGAGGTCACTGATACTTGATTGGTTTAATTTACACAGATAGGACTTAAGAATACTAGATCAGATTGGTCGCTAGCTGTACAACTATACATATAAATAATAAGAAGTTAAATTATTTTTTATTTTTAAATTACGATTGAAAACACGAAGTATATTTAACGAAAATTTGTCTCATGAACATATTTAACCATCTATTATTATTATTTTTTTTAAATGAATACAGTTTTCATAAGTTTAGCAGACCGGGAATGCTGATACTCTGACTTTATGACTATAGTTAAACATGCCCAAGCTCCCTGCATCAGCTTAGCTCGGGATGGAGCTCCATTATGAGGACGCTTGGTCATAATTAACAATATATACATAACCTTTAATTTCATTCATGAAGATGGAAAACAACATTAGTAAGAAGAACAGAGGGCATAATTAGTAATTACAAATTACTGACTTGGTATAAATTATATGATCAGGGAAGGGTTTGTTTAGTGATTAATTACTTTATAAATATGAGTTTATCAGGTGTTACATATGCCTACAAAATAAAATTTTGTCGAATTCGCACAAACTTGCGCAGAAGATACCTAATTGGCAGTAGTTTCTTAAGTTCAGAAAATTTCAACATGTTGAACTCTGGTGGGCAAGAAATGTCAAATTTGGTATTTTATCACATAATTTAATACTCGCTAACCTCCAATCCTAGAGGATTTCTAAGATCTTTCATAACCATAACCGAATATTGCTTATCTCGAAAGAAAACCATAGCCTAAGATAATAGTAGATTTGCAAATAAGTCTTTTCAAGTTAAAGAAAGCATTCAACTTTATTTACAATTGGCTGGAACTACAAATGAAGATAATTATAATTATGACCAAAACTAATTAATATGCAACATTTTGCAAAATCCAAAAAAGATGTTGAAAACAAAAACTGTGAACCGTCTGAAATTTGCGTTATCCAACTGTGGAAGCAACGGTATGAGCCCACCATCTAAGATTATCCTTCATGTCAATCTCATTGCCCAAAGCAGGAATTCTCCACTTCATCAATGGTTTCTCTTTCCTTTTCTTTTCCAGAACTTCCCATGCTTCAGATAAATAAGGTCTAGAAACTGTAGGCTCATCAACAATGGTTTCTTCCTCATCTTTCTTACCAAATCTTTGCAATCCTGGAATTATTGAAGCCAAGTTTGAATCTTTATCTTCCTCCGAGAACACAAACCCCAAATCCATAAACCCTTTTAACTCTTCATATTCCAATTCTGATAAGCTCTTGCTAGTAAGTTTCTTTCCTTTTCTCCTCCTTGAAACTTTCTGTTTAGGTGACTCTAAAACATCTACTTTCTCTGTTGGTGTTGAGTTTTCTTCATCTGTGACTTCTTTTCCTGAGAGGATGGTGTGGAGCTTTGGTGCGCGCAGGACTGAATCTGGAGAGAAAGAAAAGCCCGAACTGAAGCTTGTTTTGGAGCATAAATCTTCACTCATAGACCTTGCAATGATTGTTGGAACTCTTGAAATCTCTGGTTTCGAAGCGTTTTCTTGATTTTCAAGATCTGGGTTTGCTTCTAAACTTGATGAGTTAGATAAAATTGGTTGTTTCTTGAATATTTCCATCTCAAACCAGCATGAATCAAAGAGCTCAATAATTTCTGTTGCGTCCATTAATGGCGGCTATAGATGAGAACAAGAAATGAAAAGTCTAGAATTTGTGTATGGGGATGATGTACGTCCATTTACTGAAGCTAAATATATATATATAGACTCCTTTTGTCACTAAATTGCCCTTATGCATTCAAATATTACCAAATAAATAAATAACTCGGAATAATTGCACGTTTCCACCAAGGGTCCGATTAAAAAATCGTAGTATTTGTTTTACTTTTATTTTCCGAGTGAATTGTTTTTCTTGGAAAGAAAAGTGATCGAGACGTGTTGCGGACATGACGTGGCTTTAACAAGAAGGAAAAATAGAATTATTGAGTGTGATGCAACATGCAATTGATTGCGCGGAGTCTACTATTTGGATGGCCACATTATCTTTAAAATGCATTCCATCCCTATCATGTTAGACGGGTAGAGCAAATCATGTGGCAATGGACATGATAATAATTAATGCTCCTTGCTTCTAAAATTACGCCAATAATAATTGTGATGCCACAATTTCAATACTTCTTCTACAAGCATTACTTTTTTTCTTATTTAGAAAAGTTTATATATCTGCATATAATTGTTCTTCTAATAGCTATTTTTCTTGTGCTTAGAGCGCACAAGACTTGAATCAACATTTTAATGCAATAGGTAAAGTCTCATAAGTTTAAAAAGGAATAGTGATTGAATTGGACAAAAGAGAGAAAAGGAAAGCTAAAGTTAATCCTTGCAGGGGGGACCTTTTCTCTGTCTTCGAGAATCTTTGCAGGAGACAATATGATAATGCAAATGTGCTTCACACATTTAATATTGTTTAAGTAGCGTATGATAAATATGTTAGTTAATTTCAAAGTTAGGTTGGTAAATGGTGTGTTTATAGTAGTGTGAAGGGAGAAGAGAAATGATTACTTAAAATAATAAACAACAGGAGGTAGAATACGTGTTAAAGATGCGTACTCATTCAAATCAAAGCCGAGTCATGTTACTAGGTCAAATGTGATTCTGGGAATATCCTAGCATTACGTCCTCTCCATCCTTTATTTTATGATTTTCAAGGGCAGCCGCACTATTGTGATTGAACGTAAACTGGGTTAACGAATATTCGAATTCTCAAAAGATTCTCCAAAGAGAATGATTAATATTTCTGAGAGTCAACTGTTGATGCGTTGAACTGACGAACATGAGTTTCCACGTGCGAATCAGGGCACTTACACGAGGGACATTGCAGATCCAGTTACCAACAGCAGCTTGACAAGTTAGCTAACAGTAGTGTTGAGTTTCACACTCGAATGTTTGACTCATCATAACAGTACCACGTTGTGCTTCTCTTTTTCAAAGGAGTTTAAAGCCTCATTAATACAATGTGCAGAACATTTTATCCAAAAATAAAAAAAATTGCAGGACGCACTTTAGAATGTTCACACTCCACATTTCATACCTCCGACCATCGTGGACGAAACTGATCAAATTCCATACATGGGGGCTAAAGTGACGAGCATAGAAGGATGAATTTCGAATTTTCTCATGGTCATGCCACTCAAAATATCGATTGTTAATGCTTTCATTTAGGTCATCAATCAATATATATATATCGATTGTTAATGCTTTCATTTAGGTCATCAATATATATGTGTGTGTGGCTAAACATAATATTTGCATTTTAAATTTTCATAAATTTGTCAAATAAACTATTGTAATTCCAATTTAGTCAATTAAATATTTTTATTTTCAATTTTTATGCAGTAGATTGAATATATACACACGCAGTATAAACACTTCCTATAGGTTTTATTATATATGATTATATTATTTTTTATTCGATTTAATCAATAAAAATTATAAAATTATAACTGATATTAAAAAAAACACGTTTAATTAAACAAATTAAAAACTTAAAAAATTATTTGAAGGATTTATAAAAAAACAAAATGCAAATAGTGAGTTTAGCCACCGCACACGAGACGCAGGCGACCTATTGGCTGCAGATGTAGAACTATCATTGAATAAATACAGAATGGCTTAGGGTTTCGAACTCAGCTGCTTACAAGGGATATCATGTGGTACGGTTCTGGTTTCTGAATCCCTCCTGCACATCTTGACTAATTTTATTTAGTCTGCAATTCACACAAAATAATTAATTGCATGGGCCCTCTGTATTGCAGCACGTTTTTTTTTTTAATTCTTTTGGTAACATAAGCAGCAGTTTTTCTTTTAGCGAAAACGTGACTAACCATTGTCCGTCCGTTTTAATGTTGTGCCGCTGTCTTTCTAATTCAATGGTGAATTTGTTTTGTTCTCGGTGGTAGAAGAACATCCTCTAATGTAGTCATCTCAAACATGGGAAAGGTGAAAATAAACAAAAATAGCACGGGGTTCCAAACGTGTTGAAAGTTAAGAAAATAATTGAAAATGTCTTTTAATTTAAAATGATTATTTGCTCTGTCTAAAATTCAGCCTAATCCAGTCAATTGGGCCACAGAGAATGTTTGGATGAAAAAAATATGAATCATCGATTTTTTAAAATTAAAGAAGTGGTTAGAAAATGTAGTTATTTTTAGCCAATAAGATAAACCAAAAAGTGATTCTCTTAATAATTAAAGAAAAAAAAAAAACAGGCATTAATGGAGGTTGAAAATAATAGAAATGTACAATAAAGAACATTTTAATGTGATGTAGACGGTTGTAAAAGATTATGGAGCACTACAAGGATCATGGAAGGATTAAAGAATTACAAATACAAATTGTAACAATATTTGAAAATAGTAAGACACTCTCTAAACATTTTTTCAAAAGTTTCAAGATGCTTAAAACTTGTTAGGTTATAATTCGTAAGCAATAGTAAGTAAGCAATAATTAAAGTAAGCTAATACATTTGTAGGCTAATAATTTAGTTGATATCATCTTGTACTACAAATCGGTGTCTCTAAGCTCCTAATCATTCTTAAAGCACTCGAATTCCTATATGTTATTGAAGTTTGTAGTCTTGCTTTCATTACTTGTCTATTGCTTGATTTTATAATTAGTAACATAAACACAAATTTTGATTGTAATAAGGATTGAAAAGTACAAATTGCTAGTTTATAAGGATCATTGTTGTGAATAGTTAACATTATAAGTTGCATCTTAATTTATTTGGGCGGATTGGAGACTCTAGTTGGAATTTGCAAATTGATTTTGAATTTGTTTTGTTCTAGGTGGTAGAAGAACATTATCCGATGTAGTCATCTCAAACATGGAAAAGGTGAAAATAAACAAAAGTAGCACGCGGCTCCAAATGTGTTGGCACTTAAGAAAATATCTTGAAAATATCTTTTTAATTTAGAATGAGTATTTGTTATATCTAAAATTCAGCCTAATCCAATAAGTTGGGTCACACAAGAATGTTTAGATGGGAAAGATATGAATCATCAATTTTTTTTTTAATTAGAGAAGTGGTTAGAAAATTTAGTTATTTTTGATAAACCATAAAAGTGATTATCTTAATAATTAAAGAAAAAAAAAGCATTAATTGTAACAATCTAAACTTTTTTATGTATCCTAGTCAATTAAACGGACATTGGAGTTAACCTTATTCTTTTCACATAAGCAAGGTATGTCTAATAATAGTATAACTCATTTACATAGCCTATTTGCATGATGATAAAAAAAAATACCATTTAAAGGAGAAGAGAGACATACGAGCAGTAGCCCTTCACACGATTTGGAGGATAGTTAGAGCACACACGTGTGTCTCGATGAAGAAATGTCATTTCAAGTAAAAGAAGACACACAAACATATTCATGTGACATGGTTTAAGGGACAATTTCAGCACGTCCGTGTGTGTGCGTCTTGGCGATGAAATGTTAGTTCAATAAAAAGAAGACACGCATATAGATTCATGTGACATGGTTTGAGGGACAAATTCAGCATACCCATGTGTGTCTCAATGAAGAAATGCCATTCCAAAGAGGGAAAAAAAGAGAGAGACACACACACAAAAATGCCATTTCAAAGAGGAAAAAAAAAAAAAAGACACACGGGTAGAATGCTTCCCTTCCTTAAGAGTCATACGACCATGTACCTTCTTAGAGTCCTCGGTAGCTTTGTTTTGATGCACTTTGGCTTGGCTTATCCAATTCAATATATTATCTCTTTTACAATGGATGTTAGTAAATTTAATATAAATTGTACCTTTCCTTATTTCTTATCATGTCATATTTACATTATCTAGGATTATATACAATAAAAAATTTCCATTACAATGCAAATGCTTGTCATCATAAGACGAGAGAGAGGAAGGAGGTCGCTAGTTGATCTATCGCTTATAACGGTTAATGAGCAACGAAAAGAGGTGAACTTTAACTTCATGGCTTCTTGATACCTAAAATGAAATTGTATTTTTAATGAGATGCTACTCAATGAGGGATAATCATCATCAATACCATAACACACATTCATATCATCAAATATGACCATATAAAAAACAAGTCATGCAAATTTATGCATCATCATGTTATATGTATTTTTTTCTTGTCGAGTTATGACCTAAACACCTCAAGTATTTCCTTGGGAACTTGTGATTTGAAACTTATAAACTTGTATTATCGACCAGCTTTTATAACTTGTATTTGACCCGTTGGGTCCTTATAACTTATATTTATAAATACCTAAACATGCTCGGTCATAATCTTAACCCTTTAATCTCGTATGCATCATGAATGTCTCATATAACACATACTTGTACATATCGTCATACATAAGTTATATCATGAATCATATATAAGCATTGATTCACCATAGCAATTTGAAACAAGTCATTAATATCAAGTAGCAAATAAGGAAACATGGCATCAACTAATCTTTAGGTATCTCAAATATATCCACTCACAAAAATGGAGTCCCGTGTCATTCTTCAACGCGCCACGTCCCGCACCTTGGGATCCTTAGGGTCTAAAATATATATAGATCATCTTATAAGTCATTTTATCATACATGAACTTCAAAAACTTCTAAAAAAGTGAAAAATATGAAACTT